TAGGGACAGTAGGAATCTCGTTAATCCATTCATGCGCGTCACTAATTAGATGACGAGGCATTTGGCTAGTTAATTGCACACAGCTGTGCGTTTATTTCCCATGAGCCGCATGGGTACGGTAACATACCATTAAGGCAAACATAGACCAGTCAGAGCGAGAGGCGCCGCTGCCTGGTTGTGTTAAATAATGGAACAAAAAAAAAAAAAAATTTTTAAATTGGGAAAGTAAAATGAGATAACATAAAATAAAATATAATATAAAATAATTATTGAGTTAAATTTATCTCAATCATTTGCTGTGCCACGTGGTCTCCAGGGCCATTGAGCGTGATTTGCTACAGACGTCATGGCGTTGAACCGGTTGAAGTTCAAATGGGACCCTTGCAATACTCTGGTTGTCACTCCTCTCAGCGAACTTTTTGGAATACCCAGATACCTTAGGAACTCTGCGGATTCACCACACCATATTCCGCGCCAGCTAATGGTGACAGATGATGTTCGGATGCTGGCCGGTATTACCTGAAATCTATCTGAAACAGAATTCAAGAGATCAGAATTATTCGCATACTTCTGGCGCTTCGTGTTATGAGCTTGCTGGAGGGGTCGAGCTCCCGATACAATCTGCACGTCGATAATGTTGGCGCCCGCATCATTCACAGCAATTATGTCTGGTTTCCTGGCTCCTTCCCTCGTCCGGTAGGTCTCTTCCTGATGCACCTCGAAGCCTTTCGCCCTGAGTAGCTTGGCCACAGTCCCACATATGGCGTCATGGCGCAGGACTCTTCCTCCGTGGGTTCTCATACATCTCTGTATTATGTGTGCTGTCGATTCAGTTTCACCGCATCCAGCTCTACATAGGATCGACTCATTCTGTCTCCGGAAGGTGCCTCTCGTGGTTCTCACTCTAGACGGAAGGGCGTTGATTCGGGTCCGCACGTTCTGAATGAATTCTCTTGCTGGGATTGTCACGAATGGATCGTGAAGCCATGACGTAGATAGAGTGGAATTCCGGGCTTCACGGAGCTCCCAGCCATCCACAGACGCATGCAGTTTCTTGGCCCAATCAGAGTTCTCGACTCGTGCTTGGTCGCACCATTTTAATCGGGAGATTACCCAGTCCTGATTCCTGATAGCTCTCGCTATGGAGAAGTCAGAGCAGGACAGGTTTATCAGGCGGCGTCTCAGGAGCTCTGGGATGGCAGATTCGAAGGACATTATTCCTAGCCCGCTATCGGAGATCGGAGCATGGTAGAACCCTAGTGGAACATCTGTTGGTAGGAAAAGCCAGTTCCGCACGAACTTGCGGACGGTTCTATCTAATTTTCGCAGCATGCCAGAATTCGACCGACCGAAGACCAGGCTGTGTGTGAATCGTGGCAACAAGAACATCTTTAGCATTGTCAGGCGTTGCTGAGGTTTTAAGGGGGCCTGTGTGATCTTCATCAGTGGATCCTCGATGTCAATGCGCGCTGCAGCGGGTCCTTTGTGGCAAAAAGTGACGCCTAGATGTTTCCATGTATCAGCGACGCCTATTTGTGGTATGTAACACCCCGCAATCCTAAAAGTTTTCGCGGATAAAGTTCGAATTTTCTTCACCTTTCCGGATGGAACGAGAGAAAGAGCTAAGCACTTGTTCGGCATCGGCGAAAGACCGTGCAGTGCCAGGTCTCTGACAACACCGTCCAGGACGTCTTGCAGCCCTTCTCTGGATTCTGTCAATAGGACTAGGTCATCAGCGAAAGCCAATGCGTTGATCTGCACCCCACCCAGATTGTATCCGTAGAACCCTGGTATCCTCTTGATGATAACATCGATGACCATGTTAAATATTAGAGAAGAGAGCGGATCACCCTGTCTCACTCCCTGCCCGGGATGAATCGTAGAGGACCTTTCTCCGTCTATCTCCAGCACTGTTACTGCCGATGTATACATGGTCATTATGTATTTCACAAATTCTGGTGGGAACCCCTTGTCCTGCAGGACTCTTTCTATCGCTCCATGGGAGACAGTATCGAAGGCTTTTTTCACATCGATAGCAGCGACGTGAAGTTCCCTTAGCCTGCTTCTGGCATCGTTGATGACGGTGGAGAGTACGAATACATTATCTGCAAGGCCATCAGCTTTGATGAACGCACGTTGTCTTTCGTCCAGGAGTTGTTTCTCAAGCAGGCGATTCGACAGGACTCTGTGCATATGGCGCAGGACCACTGAAGAGATAGAGATCGGTCTGAATTTGGCCGGATCCAGTGTACCGTTCTCTTTGGGAATCAAGATTGTGCGACTGTCTCTCCAGATTGGTGGAATTTTTCCAGAGTATAGGATTGCATTAAAGATTATGGTCTTGATTCTCTCAGGGACCTTCCGTAGCCAGTCGCCTGCGCTCACACCATCGGGGCCTGCAGCTGATCTTGCATCTGATTTTGACTCAATTACCTCATCTGTCGTAATCGGCATGAAAATGTCTTTCAGGGAGTCATCTATGGTCCAAGTATCCATTGACGTTGAAGGGAGCTCTTGCTTGTCTTCTAGAATGGGTCGCCAGAATTTCTCCTGAGTTTTTAAGCTCGGGTGGGGGACCTTGTCTGCGTCGCCGTCCAGTATCTTGCTCGCTGCTTTCGACATGTTTTTATTCCATAGTACCTGGATTGCTCGATAGTCCCTCTGACGTTGCTTACGTTTTGAGAGTTGGATATTGGAGACGGGTCCGCGGCGGCCCCTTCGTAAACGTGTAGTATGTGCAGCGTTTGGGAATTGCAGGTGGAACCAGTCGACCAGAGATTGTTCAGGGTCTCTTCCATTTAGGACTTCTAGTACTGCTTTCTCAAGCGCGCGGCCGCCAGAAATGTCAGAAGCGTTATTGTGTAGGAAAGCCAGGTCTTCACGAAGGTGTAGTTCCATGTGACTTTGTGAGTGCTTGTCAGCTTCCGGGGCTGATTCAGTCATTGGGAGTCTATCAATCTGCGTAGGAGGTGGAGCATCGCGGATTGGAATGGGAGTCATCTGTGGTTGGTCTTGGTATGGCGAGGTATTGTCCTTACTCACGGGTCCACCTTCCAGCTGCACACTGTTTCGTTCTTCATGGGCGGTCCTTTTTGGCTGTCCGAGCTCGTCCTTGAATTGCTGGACCATTATCCTGTACGCACTAGAGTGACGCTGTTTTTTCAGTGACTCCAGCGTCCTACCGGTACCTGCTTCTCTGAACAGATATTCGTTCATGAACCTCACAGTGGGTGGGGCTCTGGCTTCAGCAGCAGCCAGCATCCGTAGGTGTTCTGGGTTCCATCGCGCCTTAGTCCTTTCTATTACTATCTGCTCATTATTTTCTTGAGGGTGGCTCCGTGCTCTGTGAACTCCAAGGCCTTGTTTAGTCTTAAATGCACGATCACAGTGCGGACACTGAATCATCTCAGAAGCCGTCGGTGGGATCACGCTGGCATCAGCTTCGTTGCGATTGAGATTGGTTAAGCTACGGGTATGCTCACCGACCGACTGTATAGAGATACTGTCGGGTACTCCTGATTCATTTTGTTTATATTGAATATGATTATCGGTGAGGTTGCCTCTAGATGAGACGGTTTGACAATTTGTTTTACTATCGCGATGATGTTTTGCGCGGCCGGTAAGTTGTTGTAGTAAAGAGAGAGGTGCGCAATCTTGCGCCGGCAGGATGTCACTCCCCACCTCTCTTCTTGGGCGACTATCACTGAATTGTTCAGTCATCGGGTGCAAACCGTATCGTTCGTGCCCTCTCCGCAATCTTTCGTGTCAGTATCGGACAGTTGACTTTGTCAAACGCGGAGTGATCAGTTCGCTCGAGTTTAGCCATCAAACAGTTTGCACATCTGGAGGGATCTTTCTTCGAACAATTTCGAGTCTCATGTACACCTGCACAGTGGGCGCATACGTCATCGGGAACTCTGCAATCTTTGGCCAAGTGATGAAAGTCGAGGCATTTAAAGCATTGAAGCACCCGTATATGGTCCTCAATGCGACATAAGGCGTAGCCTATGAACACCTTGTTGTTTTTCAGAAGTTCAATTCTCGTCTCGGGGTAGACTTCGATTACGAGACTTGTAGTGGCGCGCTTTCCATCGGGGTATCTATATACAAACTTGATTTCCTCATCATGGTTAGCTGGTAGGTTGCTTTCTCTTAGGCTTTGGATAACCTCGTCGGGATTGGAAGAAGCAGGGACGCCGCGAATGAGCAGTCTGGGATTCACCTTCCTTGGTTCTCGCGCCATTAAACCGCACTGCTTCAGTTCCGCAGATTTCGCTAGAGATGCTACGTCCCCAGCTACAACGACTAGTTTGACAGCTCTTTCACGCAGCATCACCATTCTGGAAACTTTAAGCCCGAACTGGGCGGGGTTTATGTGACTCGTGAGTGCTTTCTTGACATCATCCGAGGATTTAAACTTTGCTGAAGACTCTGGTAGTGGCTGGATGAAAATGGCTTTTTCGTTGTCGACCAATACCTCGTTATCAGGAGATACTCTGATTATCGTACCCTTGGAAGATGCAGACCGCTTCGAGATTTCGGCATATGATCGCTCTTGAGTAGTAGGTACACATTTGAGGACTTCCTCCACCTTCTCCGATATCTGCTTGATTGACTGACTGACAACTGACAGCTGATGCTCACCAGAACAAGGGTGTTCGGTTTCCATGTGATGATCGCTAAGTGTGGTTTTTAGCTCATCCCTCACAATTTCCCTTACTTCCTCCTTGACAAATGACCGTACCATGTCCGCTATGCCTGCTTGGTCAAGCGCTTGAGATTGTGCAGATGATGCGCTCTTTACAGCCGCTAGCACCTCCTTGCCAAATGACTCAGTTGTCACTGTTCTCACCGCAATGACTGTGTAGGCAGTCATCAGTTTTTCCGCCGTGCGCTTGTAGAATTCCATGGCAGCTACGACCGCTGGGAGGCCAGGAATATCTGGGTCTAGAAGGTTGACATCCTCGAAGAGTGGCTTGATTTTCTGCCAGCGCTCGTCCATTTCTTTGGAAATATTGTCCAAGTCTGAGTAGTCCAAAGGAAGGTCTGCTTCATTAACTAAAGGGGGCGGTGAGCTGGAGGCTTTCCGTGCCTTCTTGTTCCTAGAGTTGCCTTGGAAAGGGCTGTCACCAAAGCCTACATTCTTCAGGTTGGCTGAGTCTTTCTTCCCACTGTCCTTGTGAAAGCTAAGCCTCCGTTGTCTGTCACCCTGTTGCTTTGGCGTATTAAGCTGTGGCAGGCCCTTTGCTAGATCGACGAAACATTCTACTACAGTGGGTTTTATGGAGGGGCCGTCTTTCGTCTGAGATGTACGTTGAGAGTCGGACTTCTGCTTCGGGGGATGTTTAGGAGGCATTACGGGAACTAGCTATTACAGCATAACAGATTAGTAATAACACAGAGTGTCGATACTTCACCAATGTGGGAGATTGCTGCTGATAGGTATGTGTGGTCCACTATTAGTAGCACCACGTCCCGTCATTAATAGAGTCACTCAATAACAGTGGAAAGGAGCAGGATTATCGCATCAGAGTGGAGTTCGATTCGTAATAGAGGATGGTAAAGTGGCCATAAGATGATCTCTTACTATTCACGAACTGTTATCAGTTGGCTCTAATAATGATGGTAAGTTGTACCGGAATTGACCATACCACTTAAGGATATAGCACGACGGTAGATGGTATGTATAGCGTTGTACCGAACGGCAATGGTGTTGTTAGAGCGTATCAACTGTCGATGAACTCAAGTGTCACAGTAGATAACGCCTTCACGTATCACGATAATTCATTTACAGAAGATAATGTAGCGTTGTCGATAAGTCTGTAAAGCCTATATATAACGATAGATAGCGCTACGGTGAATAGTCCGTACTATTGATGGTAACGCACCGAGAGTCAATATGCGGTCACAATCTATATAACCGGTGTACTGAGCAGCCTAGACGATCGGTAAAGAGAAAGTAGTTAGTGCACTGAACTAGATGGCGCTGCCAGTCAGAGTTGATATACTACGTCACCACAATGGCTGACCACAACTAATGAGAAAAGATATGTGCACGCCAAACACAGCACTAACAAATCCACTAATTACTGTTTGCACTTTTAGTTTAATTAGGTACTGATTACATTAAAATGACCACTTCGGCGAGCCGAAACTTTTAGTGTACTTTTCGTATCGCTTGGACCACTTTTTCCGAACGAAAAATTGCAAAAGGCACGAGAGCACTTATTCCACGACCGACACCGACAAGAGAGTCATAGTTACTTAGTTAAGAGAGTCATAGTTACTCCCGCCGTTTACCCGCGCTTGCTTGAATTTCTTCACGTTGACATTCAGAGCACTGGGCAGAAATCACATTGCGTC